CTAGAGCTTTCGTCAAAGGATCCGCTAAATTTCCTTGTGACCTCACAAAATTAATGGACACAATTCCATTCTTCAATAATCGTTTAATGACTTTATGTCTTAAACGAATGTGTCTATTCTTCCCATTATAACACATTTTCTTAGCAGTATCTATTGCACTTCTGCAATCACAATGAATAGACACAGATGGTGTTGGTTTTGTACCAACCGGAATTTCTGCTAAGAAATTTCTCAACCACTCCGCTTCACTACTAGCCACTTCCAAAGCAATAAGCTCAGACTCCATAGTGGATCTAGAGATTATAGTTTGTTTGGTTGATTTCCACGTAATGACACCACCTCCAAGGGTGAATATATATCCAGTGTTGGATTTTATCTCATCTGAGTCAAAGACCCAGTTAGCATCGCTGTATCCCTCTAGTACAGCGGGTAACCCACTATAAAATATACCATAATTAATGGTACCTCTCAAATATCTGAGTAACCGCCTCAACGCGGTCCAATGATCCTCACTTGGATTATGAGTATATCGACTCAATCTTCCGACAGCATAAGCTATGTCGGGTCTCGTATAATTCATCAAGTGTAATAGACTTCCAATAATTTGGGAATACTCATATTGAGCCTCGGGATCACCTCTGTGTTTTTTCAAGTGTATATGAGAGTCATAAGGGATGCTTACGGGGCTGACATCAAAATGTCCAAACCTCTTTAGAAGTTTTTCAGCATAATGCTCTTGAGATAGTATAATACCATCATCCTTCCTTATGACTTTCATACCCAAAATCACTTTTGCTTCCCCCAAGTCTTTCATAATAAATTTTGAAGCAAGAAAGGATTTTGTTTCAATTATTAGTTCAAGGTTGCTACTAAAAATTAACATAGCATCCACATATAAGTAAATAATAATGCACGCACCATTTTCACATTTAGTGTATACGCACTTATCTACTTCTAGTGAGGTAAAACCATGAGCAAATAACACTTCATCAAATTTTTCATTCCATTGTTTTGGAGCTTGTTTCAAACCATATAAAGATTTGATCAACTTACACACTTTGTGTTCCTGACCAATAACTACATGACCCTCCGGTTGCACCATATAAATTTCTTCCTCTAGCTCACCATTTAAAAACGCAGTTTTAACATCCATTTGATGGACAAAAAGTTTGTGAATAGAAGCCAAGGCAATTAAAGTTCGAATGGAAGAAATACGCGTTACCGGTGCAAATGTATCAAAATAATCAACATCTTGTTTTTGAGAAAAACCTTTCGCCACAAGCCTCGCTTTATATTTATCAATTGAACCATCCGGATTTAATTTCTTTTTAAAAATCCATTTGCATCCGATTGGTTTACAACCTTTTGGTAAATCGGTTAAAACCCAAGTTTTATTTTGTTTGATTGACTCAATTTCATTTTGTATGGCCTCAAGCCAAAATGGAGCTTCTTTTGAAGAAATAGCTTGTGAATAAGTTAAAGGCTCGTCATCAACAAGATATGTATAAAAATCATTTCCAAAAGATTTTTCTATCCTTGGCCTCTTACTTCTTCTCAAAAAAGAAGGTTCATCACTAAAAGAATCATTTTCTTTTAATGGTTCACTATCACTAGAGGGTTCATACACACCATATGGTGCAATGGTCTTGTGTTCACGTTTCAAAGGAAACACATTTTCAAAAAATTCAGCATTTTTTGTTTCAACAATTGTATCACATTCAAGCACATCACTTTGCAAAACAAGGAATCTATAAGCAGCACTAGATTCAGCATAACCGATAAACATGCAATCAGAAGTCTTAGAACCAATTTTCCTCTTCTTAGGATCAGGCAATAAAACCTTAGCTAAACACCCCCACACTTTCAAATATTTCAAATTAGGCGCAAAACCTTTCCACAATTCATAAGGGGTTTTCTTATTGTGCTTATAAGGAATCCTATTTTGTAAGTGACATGCAGAAAGAATAGCCTCCCCCCAAAGATTATCAGGTGCACCGAAACTAACTAAAAGAGCATTCATCATATCTTTTAGTGTCCTATTTTTTCTTTCAGCTATTTCATTAGATTGGGGTGAATATGGCGGAGTAACCTCATGAATAATCCCTTCTTTTTCACAAAAATCATTAAATAAAATATACTCACCCCCTCTATCCGATCTAACTCTCTTAATCTTTTTATTTAATTGATTTTCTACCTCAGATTTATACACTAAAAATTTATCAAAAGTCTCGTCTTTATTTTTAAGTAAATAAACTTTAGTGTATCTGGAAAAATCATCTATAAAGGTGACATAATATTTTTTACCACCTCTAGTCATGGTATTTTTTAAATCACCTAAATCCGTGTGAATTAAACTAAGCAATTCCGATTCCCTATATATGGAGGGACAAGATTTTTTGATTAGTTTAGATTGAACACAAACATCACATTTTTCTAGTGCCATATTATTTTTAAAAGAAATCAAACCACAATCATTTAGCATTTTAATATAAGAGTTACTTGCATGTCCTAGTCTAGCATGCCACACATCGTAAGAATCAATTAAATAAACCGAAGCATTATCATACAATATTTCAGAAATACTAAGCACAAAAAGTCCATTTCTACAATAGCCATTTCCCACAAGAACGTCATTTTTTGTCATAACAAAATTGTCACAACCAAAAGAAACTTTAACCCCAACTTTTCCCAAGAGGGAAACAGAAACCAAATTAGTCCGAATCTCGGGCACATGCAACACATCATTTAGTGATAAAGTTTTTCCCGATGTGAGCTTCAGAAGAACTTTCTCTTTTCCATGCACCTTAACGGTTTTAGAATCCGCTAGGTACACGAGCTCTTCACCATCTCCTATAATAGTATAGGAGGAAAAAGCATTTTTGTTTTTACAAATATGCTTGGTAGCCCCGGAGTCTACCACCCACTCATTCACATCATTAGTTTTACAACTTTGAGAAACAACCGCAATGAAATTATCATCACTACAAACCAAGTTTAAACTTGATTTTGGTGGGTTGTTGTTTTTCATAGTTGTCATTTTACCACTAAATAAAAGAATAACATTTCTCTTAAAAAATGGTGTTAAAGTATGGCTTATTGTAAGTAGGATTGTGAAGAGAGTAATCATTATATGTAGAGATATATCCAAATACAAGTCTAAATCACAACACACGTGCAAAGATAACATAGCCGCGATGAGTGTGACGGTGACAGCTTGTAAGATCATGTGTGCAGGCATATCCGACGTCAAATACTTTCTTGAGATTGTTGAAGGAAATTTGGCCGGATAAACCTGCAAAAAAGCGTTAGAAAATAATATAGCTCGAGTCACGTGAACACTGTCCTCAAGAAAGTATTTCCGACTAGCGAAAACCTTTCCCCAAGATAAAACGAGCTCTTCGGCTTACGCTGGTAACAGAACAACGAGAGTATAAAATAATTAATCCAGCAGAGTAAAAAATAGAAGAGATTCTTCCCTTATTTGTTCATAGCTACTATATATATACATGCAATACCGAACGTTGCTGGCAGATGAAAGATTACGAGTAGTATTTAATACTAACGTTCGTATTGTTAAATAACAATAACGTTGAGACATGAACGTACGTGTAAGTAATAGCTAACATTAAAATAATGACTCATGCACGTTCATGAGCAAAACAACTTTAAGGCTCAATCCAAAATTGAATGTATACATAGTGCAATGATCAAATGATTTTAAAAGCACTAACCGTTTGGAATTTCTCATATTAAAAGTAGATCCTATACTGGTACTATGGTAAAATACTCAATGTATAAAATGATATTTTTTCTTTAATAGAATACATAAAAATATCTAATTCATTAATAAAACAATATTATTAAATATTTTTATTCATTTGAAATACTCCCAATTATTCCAACACTTCGCTGCTATTTACTCGGTGCATCATTGATTCACTTTAATCACATCATCTTATTTAAAGAAAGTGGAGAAGATTTCTTTTTCTTTTTTTGTACTCCAATTTTTATAAGAAATGTATCAAAATTCATAAGTTTTGTAATCTTTCATATTAAACCAATATTGCATATATAACAATAAAAAATTATTATTTTTATATAATAAAACTGAAGTATGAATCAATGATGTGTGAGTCTTATATTGGTTAATAAAAATTTCATTATCACTACTACTAAATCATTTAATTAATCTAAGTGCACTCAATGCATCACTGCTATTCACTCGGTGTATCACTGTTATTCACTCGGTGCATCAGTGCTATTCATTTTAATCCAATCAACTCACTCATTGCATCACTCCAAATTTAACAAAACATATATATATATATATATATATATATATATATGTATGTGTATATATATATATATATATATATATATATACACATACATCCGGGGCATGCCCCGGTAGTGTTAATTTGAAATGGCTCAGGTGAAATAAACATTGTAAATTATTCATAGGATATGATCAAAATTTTGGCGATTGCTTTTATGAACTAATCACCACCATGGAATATACAGATGAAGAATTACATCTTTTGGAGTACTAATTGTGGTTATAATTTTGGTTTATGTGCTTATTGTTGTAAAAGTTATTAATTATAGGACTAACCACCACCATGGAATACTTCACTAATTATAGGGCTAAATATATGATAAGGAATGATAAGAAGAAACGTTGAATTGAAATTGGGATTATGTAGAGTTAATAATTTATATTATTTTGGATATTCACATCTATTATTGATATTGTACGATTAGAGTTCTGTCCACGTGAATTAAAGTTTCATTCATCTACGGTGGGGTAAGAGGGATTGGATGTACGCAGTCTTACCCCTATACTAAAGCACATATAGAATGTTTGCGGATGACACACAGTGAAAATGGCGTCCAAAATGGGCTTAAACTACCTTTTACCACTGTCATTTATATTCTACGGTTTTAAACTTACTTCCAAACATATTTTACACTTTGAGTGAAAGAGATGAATCTGTTTCATACGGTGACCTGGTTTAAAGCAAGCAAGCTGCGAGCCAGGCCAACGAGATCACGCCCGTTTAGCTCCATCAATGGGTCCCCATCGGAATTTTCCGGAAAAAACAAACCCCACATTTTTACCCTTTGTTGGCTGTTGCATGTGCCCTGCTTGATGATCGCGCAATTTTGCTATTACATTTGCAAATTCCACTATTTGCCACCTTCTGTCAAATCTGATTTTCTACCCATGAATCGGCCCGGAACTCGTATATCTATCCATAATAAGTGTCGTATATCCTGATACTAGTTGTAGCCTTATAGGGTATTAGGGGATTCGATTCCGATTGGAGTTGTTGTGAATTAACCGGCATGAGCTGAAGCTCAATTCAGAGTCTCTGTTAGCTGGGGGGAGGTTTTGTTTTGAAGAGTAGACAAGAAGTAACAGAAATGGAGAAATACGAGCTAGTTAAGGATATAGGCTCTGGGAATTTTGGCGTGGCGAGGCTCATGAGGAACAAGGAGACGAAGGAGCTTGTGGCCATGAAGTACATAGAAAGAGGGCATAAGGTTTTGCACAATTTATACTTTTGATCCATCGTCTTACTGTATGTTTACATTTGGGTGTTGAAATGTTAACTGATCTGTCTGATCATGGAGATCTATCCATAAAGACTACAATTTTCATCTCCTATGTTTCATTTGGTGTCATATATGGTTTACTCTTGTACTCAATGATCTGTTAATAAGATGTATTTTGAGGGTGCAGATTGATGAGAATGTAGCAAGGGAGATCATAAATCATAGATCACTTCGACACCCAAACATAATTAGATTCAAGGAGGTGAGTTGATGAGATATGCATTTCAAACAGTTGCATCTTGCTCTATCTATGCGAGGTTGCTGATCTAACCAGCTGTTTCCCCTGATTCAGGTTGTATTGACACCTACTCATCTTGCTATCGTCATGGAATATGCTGCAGGTGGAGAGCTCTTTGAACGGATCTGCAACGCAGGAAGGTTCAGTGAAGATGAGGTACTATTGTTTTTCTGTCCAAGCTAACTTATTTTTCTGTCTCTTGCAAAAAAAAAAACAGATCTGAAAATAAAGGGAAAGGCTAAAGGTGTCCTTTTTATATAGAATACATACAGTACGTTGATACACTCCCTTCATGATCTGTTTAGGCTAGGTACTTCTTCCAGCAGCTTATTTCAGGAGTCAGCTACTGTCACTCTCTGGTATGTTAAATTTGTTACTTGTTAGTAGTTGTGTTATGAGTACAACCTGTTTTTTTTTTAAATAGAAAGGGCAGTGTGGTGCACACTAGCGTCCTCGCATGGCCAGGGTCTGAGGAATGGTCTTACCACAAGGGTGTATAGAGGGGCAAGTCTTCCCTTTTCATTTAGTTAAGAGACCGCTCCCAAGAGTTGAACCAGTGACTCCTCGGTCACACAACAACAGTTACAACACCTTATTTGGTGTGCCAAGGATCCCCTTCAGCCTGTTTTTTATTTATTAATTTTTTAAACCTTGTTGTTTCACTATTGGTGTTTCTGTGTCCTTCGTGTGCAGCAAATATGTCATAGAGATCTAAAGCTAGAGAATACCCTACTCGATGGAAGTCCAGCACCACGCCTGAAAATTTGTGATTTTGGCTACTCAAAGGTATATGCATAATTATTTTCAATATATGATACAAATTTCAGGGTGTTCAGATTCTTTTTTTTTTATTTCCTTCTAGTCATCTCTGCTGCATTCAAGGCCAAAATCCACTGTTGGTACCCCAGCATATATTGCTCCAGAGGTCCTATTGCGTAGAGAGTATGATGGCAAGGTGAAAAACTGCTACTGCTTTTAATTCTCTAAACTGTCATGTGTCCCTTTCCCACCGTGGAAAATACTAGGAACTAAAACTCAATATAGGAAGGAAAACATACGGGGAAGTTGGAAGGAAATAAAATGCGTTGAGAGTAAAAGATAGGTTAAAACTCAATAAAATTATTTTTGATACTTGCTTATACAAGTAATATATTATTTATTCATATAATTTAAAGACTACAATATTTAAGTGTACTCGAAAAAGAACAACTAATAGTATCTCGTTTTTCTTGGCCTTTTTCAAGGTAAAACCAAACAAAAGAAAATAACTTTTCTTAGCATTGTTTTCTCTTTGAATGAACTAAACATACCCTAACTGCTGTGCTTCCTTTCTTTGGTAGGAGCATGAGATGAATATAATTACTCAATTTTAGGAGGTCATGGAGTCATGAGGGTTGTACCTATAACTACCTATTGGATATTTGGATATAAAAAAGGCATTACTTATCGTAGGCTCGTAGCAAGATAAACTAGCTTTGGATGTGATTTCAACCTTGGTTTTTTTAATATATGTGATCAATATTCACCTTCCAAGTCTCATTATTCATGGTTGCTTATATTTGTTCAGCTGGCTGATGTATGGTCTTGTGGAGTGACACTTTATGTGATGCTGGTCGGGGCCTACCCTTTTGAAGACCAGGAAGATCCCAAGAATTTCAGGAAAACTATTCAAGTAAGATCTTCTTCCTTCAACTTTTATGTATTGGAAGGTGCTAGTCATTTTGCTGTTTGTAAGTAAATAGAAAACTGCATCCTGTGCTTTATTTCATAATACTCCACAAGTTCATATACATTTTCGTGTTTTTCCAGCGCATAATGGCTGTGAAGTACAAGGTTCCTGACTATGTCCACGTATCTCAAGATTGTAGGCACCTTCTCTCCAGAATATTTGTTCCAATTCCATCAAGGGTTCTTCTCTCTCTCTCTCTCTCTCTCTCTAACCTATAATGCCTCTATGAATTGCGTGTTACTCCCTACCTCTCAAATTAATTGTCTTCTCATAAAAAATCACACATGTTATGATACTTTGCAAGAAGACCCTTCTACCCATATAAAGCTCAAGGTGCTACTTATTTATATCAAAGCACAAAAGCATTTAACGTGATAGGGGCAAATTTGAGATGTTAGTACAAAATAGACATTGTTCGCATAAAATTACAATTATTTTAGGACAAGTTTTTTAGCATAAATGTCATCTACTTTTTGATGGAGGGAGTAATTACTTTTACTCTTTTCTACACACATACAACATGTTTTCCTTACTCTTTTTTTTGTTAAGGAATGCATCGGTATCCTTATTCATAAAAATACAGTTAGGCCATTAGGGTCCATTTAGAACTCGATAAATGCTAAGCAAAGAATATAGAGGTAAATATAGGAGAAAGTTGGTGGGAAAAAATGCAGGCGAAAAATAGAGAAGAATAGAACTGGTCCAAAGCCTATAAATTTATTTCTGATATTTTTAAAACTCGCTCCATTTATTCAATTATTTCTACTGTATAATGACTAAAGAAAACTAAACATATCCAATAAATTTGAGAATAAACACCCCCCCTTGCATTTTCCGAGGTAAAATCAAACAATAGAAAACCACTTTCATTTCCTTTCCCATTTTCCAAGATCCAAACATAAGCTCGTTGTGCCATTATACTTTCCTCAGTGATACAATCATTTTTGTAGAGGATTTCACTTAAAGAAATAAAGTCACACCCCTGGTTTCTGAAGAATCTACCAAGGGAATTAACAGAAGTGGCCCAAGCAGCGTATTACAGGAGAGAAAACCCGACCTTTTCCCTTCAAAGCGTGGAGGAGATAATGAAAATAGTGGAAGAAGCTAAGAGCCCTCCCCCTGCTTCCCGTTCCATTGGGGGTTTTGGATGGGGAGATGGTGAGGAAGTTGAAGAAGAAGAAGAAGACAATGAAGAGGATCCAGAGGGAGAAGAGGACGAGTATGACAGGCAAGTGAAACAGGCACATGAAAGTGGAGAAGTTCCTCCAGTTTCCTGAGATAGATCTGCTTCCGTCAGTTCGTGTACTCTTTCTTTCATTTGTAGGCGTGAAGCTTAATAAAAATGTAAATTTATAGTTTGTTTATTGACTAAAAAGGCTCATGAGACAGTCCCAGCCACCTATGGAGTTTATAGAGGAGTGAAACTGTGGTGATGAGAGTTTTTATCTACTTTGGTGGTGCTGTGTTTGCTTGTGCATTGAGTTTATGTATAATACATATTAGTCCTGTGTCAATCTGGTCAACAAGTAGGTGCTTTGAGTTTAACTCTGAAGTCTAAACTATTTGAATGTATGGTAAGTGTCATTTTAATTCATTTACATTATTTGGGAAAAGTAAATGGTTGTTATTTCATTTTTGTCAACTTTGTTCTTGATATTCATGTTAATATGTGCTCTTTGGCAGAATACTCTTTTGGTGTTGCTTATGCAGTTATGCATCAGAGTTTCTACCGAGTATTAACTTACTGGATTGTGTAGGCCTAATTGGTTGATGAAGAAAGAATGTGTAAAATGTTTTTTATGAAATGAGAGAGAATGGGACATCTACGGGCTTGTTTGGCATTCAGCGGGTTGTCAATAGCGGATTCAGTCGGCATGTTTGACTAGCGGGATAAGTTGACGGGTTGTGAGAAGATGTTTTGTAATTTAGTTGTTTGGCCATAAAATTAGTAGAAAACGTCATTTTTCAAAACGCCAACCCAAAACTCTCCTATTAGTATCGTTTTCATTTCAGCGTTTTTGTCCAAAAACGCTAGTGCCAAACTGCCAAAAAGCTATTTACCAAACAATTTCACTTATTGATAACGCTAAAGTGGTCAAACCGTCATTTTTCGGCTGAAACATCCTTTACCAAACACCTCATATGTCTCCTTTTGCACATTGTTTTCTTTAGTTTTATAAAAAATAACTGTGCGCACACCACCTTTGGACCATTTAGCCATAATGTCGAGTCAAATTTAGCTAATACTACGTAGTAACTTACTGGTTTAGTTACTTTGGTACGAGTTGTTGGTGTTTTGTCGTACAGTAATTGAAGAAGTAACTTACATTTTTGTACTACCTCCTATTATAACTTCCAAATAAGTTTGACACACAATTTAAGATAATGAGTATTGTGTGGTAGAGAGTTGTGCAGAGGAGAGAAATGTGTAAGAAATGTTGTGAAATGTGAATCACAAATTCTTTACCAAAAAAGAAAAATGGAAGTTTTAATTGTAACAAATGAAAAAAGAAAGTTGGAAGTTATAATAGGAACAGAGGGATGGACCTATGGAGTAACTTTTGAGTTTGGGGAGCTTGTAAACCGACGGAGATAAACAAAAAGTGGAATGTAACGTATTTTCCAAAGTAACTTTGTGATTGGGAATTTGTTTTTGATGAATATGATAACAGAGGATCATAGTAAATAATTTTAAGGGAAAATTGTCAAATAAGCACTCGAACTAACTTAAAAAGTGCAAATCACCTCTTATATAGGAGGTTCTGTCCGGCCGTCGACATTTGGAGCGGTTCTTGATAGAATTTTTTGATGATTTTTTTTAAATATCTTCTTCATTAAGTATAGTTTACCCATACCAAATTCCAGATAAAACTTCAACCGGGAAGGTAGTCAAATGATTTTCTGAATTGTACTACGTTGTTTAACTGCACAATCATCTTCAAAAATTCATTTAAGTGCCTTCTCGATTGAATTTTTAGCTGAAATTTGGTATGAGTAAACTAAACTTAATAAAGAAGATGCTTAAAAAATTTCATCAAAAAGGTTTACTGGGAACCGCCCAAATGGCGACGGCCGAACAAAACCTCCTGTATAATGGGTGATTTACACTTTTTAAGTTAGTTCGGGGGTCTATTTGACCATTTTACCTAATTTTAACTACCTTATATTTTTATACAACTATTGACGTATAATTAGATTAATTGAAGGAGTTGGAAATAGTAACTTACGTAGATGGGGGAGGACAAATTAGGAATAAAAAATCGTCATTTACTTAACTTAATTAATTAAATATAAAGGAGTTAGAATTTGTCCACTAATTTTAAACTAGTAATATACATGGAATTTTATCTTCTTTCTTTTAGAATTTTAAATTGGAATTTAAGTTTTGTTTTGCCTAGTACGGACTATTGAGATGAGCATGGTGAAGGACGGGGTCTAGCCGAGCATTGATTGTCTGATTAATGTTTGTTATGTGGTCGATGAATCAAAAGGTTTCTTTTGGAAAATCCTCTATATGTCTGATTAAAGGGATATGCTTATTTAAGTTTCAATCATGTTTTCTTTAGAGTCTTGATTGTGGACATTGTGGTAATTCCTAACATTCTACGAAGTAATATGTATCTATTCAGGTAATATGCTTATTTAAGTTTCAATCATGCTTTCCATTAACCTGTAAGAATTCATACTTTCATTGCTTAAAATGATATATTTCTTTAAGTATCAATCATGTTCTCCGTTACCCTATAAGAATTCTTGCTTTCATTGCTTAAAATGCTCCAATGGTTAGGTACACACCTATATTTGGCCCCTCACCTGGAAATCGTGGTTCAAATAATTCGGTATTGGGTCAAAGAGGAGGAATTGATCGTGATTTTGAACCTGTTCTTTCTATGACCCCTCTGAATTGAGATCAGACAAGGGATATGATGAGTGGTAGATTGTAAGGGACATTAGGATGTTTACGATTTTTATGGGTTAACAAGTCGCTCAAAACCTAAAAATGACTTCGAGTACATGTCAACCTATCCATGAGGGTGTGACATGCCTGCTTTGTATTTATATATTTTAAACATTTTTAATGTACTTTTGTATCAAATCGGATGAGGCAAATGGATGCACATTATTGTTACATTCTTATATGGTTTTTAGTTTGCATGTAAAATATGTGTTCATAAGTTTATTGAATTTCCATTGAATTTTACATGCATCTAATTGAATTGCATGATAAAAAAGTCTTATCAACAAATAAGTTGATACATGAGATCAATGTTTTTCTTGACTATACATCTCGGTATAAAGGTTATCTAGTAGAGTTTTCATCGGTCACCATGTTAGGTTCCATGGAGGGGTGGAGTCAGAATTTAGTACAAGGGGGCCGGAGTATAAAACAAGTGATAGCTTCCTGGGTGTGCCGAACAACTAGAGAGAAGGAAAATCTAATATATATAGAGAGAAACAACTTGCAATAAATTATTTTTGAACCCCCTATAACTATCCCCAAGGAGGGTATTTATAGAGGGAATGTGGGTTGGGCTCCCAAACCTTGAGCCTGGGAGGTCCGATTACAATAATGAGTCGCTAATGGGCTGTTTACATGTGTTTTATCCCACCAAGGATGCTATGAAGATGTGTGATGGTGATGGGTCCGAGTGCATGGATGCACCTCGGCCTTGCTGGTGGAGATGCCGAGGTGTGTCCTCCGAGGTGCATACACAGAAAGCCCCCCTCTTCATCATGGACTGGGCTCTCTAGGCGGGCCTTATGTCCATGGTGTCAGCTTGGGCCATTCGTATGTCCAAGAGTATGTGGGCCGTGGGTGCACGCCCATATACTCTATCAACAAGTATTAAAATTTAAAGGAAATTTGTAATTTTGATCCCGTAAATTTACTCTGTGCCCGTTTTTTAGCCCTGTAACTGTACTTTCTTGCAGATTTGATCATATAATGCAATTTAAGTACTTCCCCACTAAAAAGTACACTTTATGACAGATAATTTACCGGAAAATATGTAATGGACGTCGAATTTTTCCCATAAAGTATACTTCCAGGTGGAAAATTCCTTAAAGTGCAAAGACCTATTAGTGAGAGGACTTAATCTGCATGCGAGTAAAGTTATGGGAATAATAATAATCAACCTTACTACACAAAAAAATATGAGTAAGAAGAAAATTACTACATCTATGAAACCAAACCCGTGAGGCATACTTGAGACCATAAATGGTCTTGCGTAGGACCGTAGGTGACTCAAGTGAGTAGGGATTTATGATGAACAAATAAATCCATGTGGTTAACGCACGTAAACTTTTTCAGTAAAATGACCATGAAGAAAATCATTTTTAACATCTGGTTGACGCATAACCCACCCAACAGGAATAACAGGAGTAAGAACAATACGAATCATGGTGGGTTTAATAACAGATCTATAAGTCCCAAAAAATCTACACCAGTCTGTTTATTAAACCCCTGACCAACTAAACACGTTTTATGACGCTCGATATAACCATCGGAATGATATATCGTCATATAAATCCACTTACAGCCAGACACATTTTTAGAATGTTTATCCTCACGCCATTTAAAATGTTCATTTGTCTCTGAAAAGCACGTCAGTTTGGTTGAAGTAACAACTGTATTTAAATTTAAAACATGTTTGAATTTAAAATTTTCAGATTTGGCCCTAGTTTGCATGGGATGGACATTAAGAGATGGGGGAGTCAAATCAGGCTGGACAGCTGGGACAAGCGGATCAGGGAATGTGGGTAGGCTGGCGGTCTGGCGGAAAGGGAGTTGGTGCGGGCGGTGACTGGTGGAAGTTGAATTGGGGAGGGTTCGGGCAGGGACTAGAGACAGTCTGGCTAGGGCGGACCGTTGCGGGGGGGGGGGGGGTGGTGGTGGTGGTGGTGGTGGTAGTGGTGGACGTGGTGGTATTCGGGTTGAGTCGGGTTGGATCGGAGCTGGGTCGAGCAATGCGGACAGAGGGAATAAATCGATGGCGAAATAGTCCTATAGTGTACCGGAAAAACCGGTTCCACAACGCACAACGGGAAGTGTGCTAGCTCAATGGTGTTGTTGAGAATAAATGGGATAAGGTGAGAGAGACAACATTGGATTGGATCGGGAGAAGAGTCTCGAGAATCAAATGGAAAAATATTTCCATGGAACCAGGGGTGGAACCATGTAGGAGGTAAAGGAGGACATCCCCCCCCCCCACTTATATTTTTAAATATTACTATTAGAAATTATTTGCCCCCCATATGAATGCAATTAGACAAGTCATAAGTCTCTCTTGTAATGAAATTTTTAAATTTTATATTTGGGAGATTTACCATTTCAATCTTGTAACTTTTGGTTGTCCCTATTATTAATTCCGTAACTTTACTCACATCCATATGAGAGTATGCTTTATGGCAAAAAAATTTGACATCGATGACATATTTTCCGGTGAATTACCTGCCAAAAAGTGTACTTTTTGGTGGGGAAGTACTTAAATTGTATTGTATGATCAAATCTGCAAGAAAGTATAATTACAGGACTAAAAACGGGCATAAAGTAAATATACAAGATCAAAATTGC